GATAAAGAATTTGTATGTGGGCTAAATTGAATTTTCATCGTTAAAGTAACATAGAATTCACCTGCTTAAATCGATATTCACATCGGTGTTTTCTACAAAATTATGATAAATAATTAATAATATGCCAGACAAATAGAACAAGACGCAGCTACCATCGCACTGCTATGCATTTCAAGACGTCTGAATGGGTAAACGAATTTATTACGCACGATGGGCAGTACATCGACTTGTATTTTGTACACTCTTAATAACTTGGGGCTCCTGGATTTACCTACTAGGCCTACCGGTGTGTGTGACAAGGCGCGTACGCAGGGGGGGGGGGGGGTTCGATCCCCCTCAAATTTGTGTGTGCGTGTGTGTGTGTGTGTGTGTGTGTGTTTTGGAGGACCCCCCCAAAAAAAAAAAAAAAAAAAAAAAAAAAAAAAAAAATGTCCCCCCCCCGATGGTCGATGGATGAGGGTTGGAACAAACAGGACGCCGATTATCGGGGCAGTTGCAACCTTATAATTACGACGAGGCATCCGAGTGCGATGGATACGCCCCTCAAATATAACTATAATCAAGTCATCTAAGTTCTAGCTTTTGAATAATTATTTTAATAATGTGAATTGTCCTATTGGTGGTGGTGGTGGTGGTGGTGGTGGTGGTGGGGGTGGTGGTAATTTTACCTGACTGCTAAGAAAGCATAAATTCTAAGAATTGTTAGTTAGCAACCAGAGGACCGACGGCTTTAGGTCCTCTCCGACTATATTGTGGCTGCTGCTCGAATCGAGACCTTTAGTTTTAACTTTGATTGACTCATCAAACGTATATTCGGAGATCCTAGTATTTACATTACATCATCTTTAACCTGTGTAGGCTTATTATAATTATATGGATTTCCAGATCGCCATCAGGATGATGAATATTGACATGACAATGACCCTGGGAGGCTGGGGGAGGTCCATCCTTGGAAAGTAATGTACAGTCAAAAGACGTCCAGCAATCAGGCACTGTTGTGATCAACGTTTTAGTTGTTTCTGTTGTAATGTCAGGTTTGTCTATCTTCAACGCTGGACACAGTTTATTTTGTATTTTACTTTACTAAACGCGCAGGAGAGAGAGAGAGAGAGAGAGAGAGAGAGAGAGAGAGAAAAAAAATACAGGAGAGAGAGAGAGAGAGAGAGAGAGAATAACATAGTTGAAGTGAGGGGAGGAGAGGAGAGGGAGAGAGAGAGAGAGAGGGGGGGGGGTAGAGAGTGAAAGTACACATGTAGCTAGGTCGCTGAAAAAGTAAACTGTCTTGTTGTATCTTCAAATTATTATATCACTACATGGACAAAAATTGAATAGGATTTTATGTTCTACCCTGCATGTCCTAAAATGAAAAGAGATTAAATTTGTGTCTATAGGTACACAAAATGATCAAGAGGCACGCTGGTTCATTACTTTGGCAACAACAAGAAACACTAGCAATGAGAAGGTTGCAGCCCCAATTATCTAAAACTACCGCAAAAGGCACTGGCGTTGCTATGCCCTATACATGGGTGTCGATCCCGGGGGGGATGGGGGGGGGGGGGGATATATCCCCCCAATATTTCAGGTGGGGGGATGGCCTGTACAATCATCCCCCCCCCAATAATTCACCATCACAAAAAAAAAAAAATTAATGATGAGAGCCCGATGAGAATACATGTAATGGTTATTATACTCGTCTTTTGTCTTCTTTCTCTAATAATTCAATGAAACATCAAAGCTTCCGCGCTTCGCGCGGAGGAAGGGGAACTTGATTCAAACAAGGATTAATAATCGAGAACGGTACAACGAATCGTCTTCTTTCTCTTATAATTTAATGAAACGTCAGAGCTTCCGCGCTTCGCGCGGGAGGGGGGGGGGGGGGAAATGAATTCAGACAAGTATTAAGAGTCGAGAATGGTTCAACGAATCGTCTTCATTCTCTCATAATCTAATGAAATGTCAGAGCTTCCGCGCTTCGCGCGGGAGGGGGGGGGGGGGGGGACTGAATTAAGACGAGAATTTAGAGTCGAGAACGGTACAACGAATCGTCTTCTTTCTCTCATAATCTAATGAAATGTCAGAGCTTCCGCGCTTCGCGCGGGAGGGGGGGGGGGGACTGAATTCAGACAAGGATTAAGAGTCGAGAATGGTACAACGAATCGTCTTCTTTCTTTAATAATTTAATGAAATGTCAGAGCTCACTACCACCCCCTAAAATAAAATCCTGGTAATTACGCGCTTGAGAGGATAATAACCCAGGTAGCAAGCTCATGTGGGCCCCACATGGGTCCCATATTGTCTGAAATGTTATCTTTATTGAGGGTGACTTGAAAAAGTTAATAACTTGGAAGGGAGGGGTGCAACTTGCCACACGCTTCTACCTCTTGGTTGCTTTGATCCATTGCCGAAAATATTTTGGCCCCTTTCATCCCCTCCAACCACGGATACAAATCGACACCCCTGGCCCTATACCAGCATGATCAGTGAGCCATCGCGCCTCCTCGAGACATTGGCGGCCTTACAATTTTTTTGATTTTTAATATCCCCCTCGAAACATTGGTGTCCCCAATGACGTCATTGTCCCCTTCGATGTCTGGACCCACTCTGCGTCATCGGTATGCGGAATTGTGAATACAACGGCCTTTTCTTTAAAACGGACATAATAAGCTTTGATGTAAGTTAGTCACATGTAATGAAATCGCACACGAAGAAGACGATGGAGCTTCGCCCTCAGCCGGCTCTCCGGTCGGGACATCGACACGTAGTACTAGTGAAGAACCCTCGAGCTCCGGCGTACTCGTACTCGGCCTCCTTCAACACGAGGTCTCTTCAAAATATTCTTCAACTGTCACTTGATGTCAACTGTGTTTGGAATAACAGACGCCACATATGCTAATGAACACATCAAGTGCCGTCACAAGATGTTTTCCTAAGTTCTGTCTCGATCTGTCCGAAAGCAGGCAATTTCTCCGACAAGTCTGATTGGCATGTTTTTCAGCGCCGCCTTTTTTCTTTCTCTAAACTTAAAGCCATGCAGCGTTTGATGACTTCATGGACGATGGGTTATGATTCAGTTACAGGGGCGGATCTAGCTTTTGCTAAGGGGGGGGGGGTTTGACCAAAATAATGACGATGCAGAGCATCGTCCACGAGCCGCGTAGCGGCGAGCCGATTTTTTTTGGGGTGTTTATTTGAACCCCGTAAGTGATGTTTTCCTGGCATCTATTAACACAATGGAGACCATAAAAAGCAGTGCATGATAACGTCTTTTTAAATCAAGTAACAGCTTAATACACAGTTATATCCAGCCTTTTTATCATGTGTTTGGTTAAGTTACCAGATGAGTTGAATATCTTCTCACAATATTTGCACTTGAAAGGGTTTCTCTCCAGCGTGCGTTCTTTTTTCTTTCTTTTTTTCTTTCTTTCTTTTTTTCTTTTTTTTTTTTTTTTTTGGGCCGCCCAAGGGGGGGGGGGTTGAACCCCCTAAAACCCCCCCCCCCCCGTAGATCCGCGCCTGAGTTAACGGAACAGCAAACGATTGTATTACCAATTATACTTTAAAATGTCAGTCAATTTGACATTTTAACTCGATAGGTCAGTTGCCTGATAGCTGATCATGAAAGCTAAGATCACGCTGCCCAGTTATGACGTGATGTTTTTTTTTTAAATTGGGATTTTTCACAGTTTAGGGCGGGGGGGGGGGGGCAGGTGAACCCTTATCATTGTGTTTCTGATTACAAAGCTTGTAAATGGCCATGACGGATGATAAAATTTCACTTTTTTGTTTCCGCCCTACATTATACACCATCATAATACGCTGAAGATGTCATACAGATTTTGTGCACCGGTAAATTCAAGCTCCCATTCGATACATTAATGGAATGAAAACGTTATCTTACTGAAACATAAGACGTTGTTTCCCGAACGTTTGCCGAGGGCTTTCGATTTAATGGAGGATCGAAAAAGCTGAAGAGAAAACATCCTCAAGATTCCTACATGAATCAACGTGGACAACAATAGGCCTAAATACAGAAGAGAGATCGAGAGAGAGAGAGAGAGAGAGAGAGAGAGAGAGAGAGAGAGAGAGAGAGAGAGAGGAAAGGGGAGGGTGGAAAGAGGGATTGAATGCATCTGAATTATTGCAAATGAATTTGTTTACGATATTTGATATAATACTTCAAAGTAAATAGGAGAGAGAAAGAGCTCTCAAGAAAACTGACACCGTAATGGGAATTCGAATAGAGCCGTGTACACCGTGAAGAGAAACTTTTTTTTCTGATAACAAAGTCAGAAGATATTTTAACATCGCAGTAATGTTGCAAAACTTCAATGCTAGATGTAGGCTACAATTAACTTGATCTGAAAAATTTAGTGAAAACGGCCATCATTAATGATACAAATTGGGAAAAAACTGGTCTGATCGATTCCTTAATATTCCCAACTATATTATTACAATTTAATTACATTTTAGATGAATGTAAATCGTCACAAAGCAATAAATTGGCTCTCCATACCATTCCAGACATTTAAGTGTTGAAAGATTTTTAATAGCCTGTTTTTATCTTTTTTTCATGGAAAAACGGTTGGGAAAATTTAAAAATGGTTGGGAGAATTTACTGTTAATCATGACTAGAGGGTGTTGCACAGTGACGCCTTCAAAGAAAACCATAGATATCTTCAATGGTTTGAGAGTTTAGTCAGGATTTTTTGCATGTCAGAGGGTATAGAAGGAATAATAAGTAACATCAACCTTCAGCAATGTTACCGAATCATGGGGTAGAGAGGAAGAGAGAGAGGGGGGAAAAACATGAAACTTAAATGTACACATACAGATAAAATTTCCGATTTCTCTCTCTCTCTCTCTCTCTCTTTCTCTTTCTTTTCCTCCCTCGCACCCTCTTTCTTTTCAAATGTGATACTTATGCCATCTTCTCTTCGAGTTCGGTGGTGTCATGTGACCACAGTTTACAGAGTCACATGACTTATCATGTGACCCACGTTGCACAACAGTGGTTGTTTACGTTTGGTAGATCTGACCTCTGCCTGCCCGCGCTCTGCTCATTATGTCACTAGACTTCGTTGCCTGTATAGTCATCTTAGCAGTATTTTCCAGCTTACTGTAGAGAAAATGAAGAACCTCGTATTTGTGAGCATATTTAGCGCAATGGTCGCCATCGGGACTGCACATCTGTGCATGCTGAGTCCTCCACAGCGCGGCTCGATGTTGAATATCAACAAACCAGGTTTGGATTATTCTTTATCATAATTTCATAATCATATGGCATAACGTTTATGCCTATGACTTGAGTATGAGTATGGCAATCAGAGTATGACATGTGCTGTTGTATGATGTATGTCATGCCAATGTAACGGTTATGATTATCTCGATACATGTTGTTGTTGTTGTTGTTTATTTTAGGCAAGTCAGACAGTTCATGACCATTTATTGCTGAATACTATATAAAGAATTTGTTTTGAATTCAAATTTATCTATATACACTCACATAATATGTGTGTGTATATAATGTATATTTCTTCTTCTAATTTTCAACAACAACAACAACATAAAAGGGGTGGGGGATTGAGCTGGATAATGATATCATGTTAGATTACAATTAAAATTTGTTCCAAAAAAAAAATGAAAACCTATCTAACCTATTTAACTTGGTGGAGTTGTTATTTTATAGTGATTAGTGTAAAATGTGAAGTGATGGGTACTTCGAGTTAATTTCTTGAAAACAGAATTGAAGAAGACATAAAGATGACTTTTAAAATTTGGTTTCCATTCCATTCCATGATTCTTTTAGAAAATTGTTAAAGTAATAAATTGGATTTAGGGTAGTAATGAAAATGAAATAAATGAATTATTGCTGTTCAGAATATGAAAATACATGAAAGATGAAATAATCTGTATTTCTTTTTTTTTTCATGTGAAGCATCTCCGGACTGTGCATTGCTGCCAGAGCCATGTGGAGGTCGTAATGCTAGCTTGGGAACTACTCTTGCTATCAAGTAAGTCTGGGATTAATCAAGAACAAAGTGATTCAGTCAAAAACTGAAACAATACATCAGAATGAATCTAGTAGACTTATGACACAGCTTTAACACCACTGGAGGTTGCGCTCACTCATACTCATAGGAAAAATTTATTGATGGCCGGAGCGCCAAAGTTGTTCCCTCCCATTAGAGATTGTATGTGGGAGGGAACTACCGGTACTTGAATCTGTTGAAGCTCCATGTTTGTCACAACTTTCTCTCTCAATATGCTATGAGTATGAGTAGATTGGTGTATGGAAGGTGAAACCTAGGACTTCACATTAACAGGGGCGGTATACATATGGGCATGATAGGGCCCCACTATTCCAAATCAATTAGATTCAATGTTGAATCCAGACCCCTAATATTTAGATATTAATAGCAGGAGGCGCATGCATTTAGAACCTACCAATTTTTAGTCTGGACCCCTACCCCCGAGAAAAAGGCCCCTATTGAGAATGAAAAATAGCAAAAGCAAAAAGTGATGTGAGTTACTTTATCATTCTGTCACTGTGGGCCTGAAAGGGCTGATTAAAGCTGTCCCTTTTAAAATCTCTTTGTCTGTGTCTATTATCAATTTATTTTTTCCAGCTTAAACATTATGTAAATGCCAACATGTAGGCCAACTGTCAACTTAAGAATAATTGATAATGATGGTGCAATTCTTTCATTCTAACCATATGTCTGTATTCCTTTTATGAACGTGTAGGGAGGGAAGCAGGTTTGTTGTAGCCTTCCAGAAAAACTTGGATCATTTTTACCCAAGTAACCCTGTAAGTATCCAAATTAGAATATGATTTACCTTTAATTTTTATCCTACACAAATATAAAGTTTTGTGATGTTACTGGTATTCTGAAATTGATTCTTGCTCATGTCAATTTACAAAAACCCTACATTGTAAGAAACTTTATATTGAGTAAACATAGCTTTGATTGTTATGTTTTAATTGAGAACAACTTACACCATAAACTTTTAAGCCAATGGCATTTAATTCACCTGATGCTGTTAAAACATACTTGTTTATGTTTGTTAACAAACTTTTGAAGTTATATTGGTCTACTGACCTTTGTTTTAGTAACAATGTAAATAAGCTGGTGAAAAACAGGTCATTCTAAAAGACCTTTATCTGATTAATTGATGTATTATCAGGTAGTTAACTTCAATAACACAATTCTGTCCAAAACATTGTGAGTTCTGCATGAAGAGATAAATGGGAATGATATATATCTCTATAATGCAACCAACTCTCAAAACTTTGAAATAGCAATATACTTGTAGATTTTTTCTAAAACGATTACAAAATTACATACCATATTCTTCTAATTAAGAACATTGTTAACTCCATATTTAACTCCATATCCGCTGAAAATACTTTATATCAATGGAAAGCTGAATGAACGTAGAATAGAAATAAATGTATAAAGAAATTAAAAAAATTGCCCTGTCATTATTCCACAAAAGCAAATTAAAATCTCATTTTCTGCACCCCTCCAAATTGAATCTTCCATTAGTCGACCAAAGAGCTCAACTGATGCACTTAAATAGCATTTTTGTTGATATTTATTGTTTAATTTTTAACCAACAGGGAAGCTTCAAGATTTCTTTGAGCTTTGATGAAGAGAAGACTTTCCAGCTCTTGCAGTTTCTTCCCGACACCTCTGACCCATCCCTCACTCTCTACTATATGAATGTCACTATGCCTGCTATGTGAGTATATATATGGATGCCAAATTCAGTGCCACTCATTGATTATAACTTTTGTTTTCAAGCCACTTTTTATATGTATCTATTAAAGCCCCACTGTACTACTTGTAGCTACTTGCTCTATCTATATAGAAAACAATGCCTAATTGGTGACCATTGGTCCCCCATGATCCTCTTTTTCTTATGTTAATTGAGAGCTGAGTTGATGAGATAGCCACCTGTCAGTGACCACCCTGGGTGGTCTAATCTCTCCTAGCCTAACTTGTACAGATGGCCTTTAAGGAAAATGCTTTAAGAAATATTCCTGGATGTAGACCTGGGCAACGTCTTAATTATAAACAGTTGCGATTAGTTGCAACATCTTTGCGATTGATATCAATAGCTACTATGTATATTCATAAGAGATAGGAGACTGTAACCTTGCAATTGATTCAGATTGCAACTCTTTATATGATGTGCCCAGCACTGTCAACTCTTTCCTTATATAGGATTTTGTGTATGTTATTCTTCATCCAAAAAAAGGAGAGAAAGGATGACAGAACAGCATACTTTGTGCATCTTTGGAATCTTGGCCTACACTGCATAGTGCACCGTATCACAGAATTGATTACATTTGCTAGTTTTAAATATGCATGCGGAACATGTTTTTAAAGCATTTATTGTATTATATTTGATCTTACCTTTCAGGCCACTAAAGAAACCAGGGACATTGAGAGTAAGTAAAACAGGTTTGGTTTACCAAAATAGTGATTGTATATAAAACAGCATGTTGCCAGTAAAAGCCCCCCTGCACTACTTATAGCTACTTGGGCCCTCTATAAAGCAAACATTGCCTAAGCGGTGACTGTTGGTCCCCCATGGTCCCCTTTCTCTTATGTTAATTGATAGCTGATTTGATGAGATAACCACCCATCAGTGACCTTGCAGGGAGGTCTAATCCCTCCTGGCCAAACTTATGCAGATAGGCTTTTAGACACTTAAATGATTTGTTACAATAAAATCACTCTAATTCAAGAATGGTACAACATGCTGCATTGGAAATAGACTCAAAACTTTCTGCTCATGTATAATGTGTAATTCCTGGTATTCTTGATCAAAAGATAATGCAAAAACATTAGTTACAGGAGACTCTGTACATCTATGGGTTAAAGGATGTCCAAATCTTTATTTCCTTTCATCTTGTTTCTTTGCATTCCAGATTGCTTATGTAACCCAGAACCCAGAAGCTCCAGCCGTATTCTACCAGTGTAGTGATATCATGCTCTACTAATGGACGAGGGTCTCATACACAATCAAATTGGCAACTCGTTTCGTTGAACACCCCTTTGTTGCATATATGTGTGTCCACATATTTACATTTCATAACCTGTATCGTCAACTTGTATTTCTAAAATATGTTATCTCCATATGTCTGAATGTTCCTACTGAGATGTATACCTCAATAATCTATGTTCTAAGAACCCTAAGCAGGGGTCAGATCTAGGGGGGGGGGGGGGTCATATGGGTCTGAGCCCCTTTCCCCCCTCCCCCATTCGTTCCACCAATTGTATATCTTACATTTGAGTGTATTCTATAACCCTACATACATGTATGTTCCTACAAGTGTATTATCCAGTAATCATATATACGGTAGATCAACACCAGTATGATGTACATGTATATTGTGTTGTGTTGTATGTTACGTATCTTAATGCTTAAATGTTTCAACACATAATTAATGTTTCAATTGTTTCAGGATAGAATGGTAGCAATATGATATTAAGTTGGCAATCAAGCACGTGCGTCTTTCAATCAGGAAAAGATAAGATAATTATATAAGTATTAGATAAGTATATTTTTAACAAAATACATGTCTTGAGAACTTCTTACAGGGTTATAGAAGTGACTATCATTCTTATCATCATTTGTATCCTACTCGCGCACAAACTTCAAATGCAGGGATTTTATATGAGAAAAAGTTTTAGAAAAGTGATATATAATAATTTTTTTATATTACATAATATGTTATTGTTCTGTCTTCCAAGCACAAAGTTATGCCTACAATTTTTAGTACTGCGTCTGCAATAGTCCAAGCATGGTACTTTTCTACACATAGTCAATGTGATGGGTTTTTATATGTAAATTTTAATAGGCAATTGCAGTAGGCCTATATTAAGAGTATAAATAAAAACTTTGTAAATGTGCCATGATAGCAATAGATGATTGAAATAAGCAGTAGAATATTAAATTCAACTTGGATTGTTTTTCTTAAAAGTAGGATATTTCACTGACATCGCTACCACTGTTGTAATGTATTTTCAATTGCGCCATCTTTCTGTGAAGGAGTACATAGACAGAGATGCCAACTGTTCCGTTTTTGCCGTATTTGTTCCATTTTTTTCGCTATGAATACGGCAGTACGTTTTTTTGTATGTTTTGTTACGTTTTTTAAATTATTTTTTTTTTTTTTTTTTAAATTTATTTATTTATTTTAAATTTTTTTTTTTTTTTTTTTTTTTTAGTGACGTTTTTCTTAATTTCTGATCATGGGATTTGTGTCGTAAGTGTATTATGCACCTACATCTTCAAACGATGCACGCAGGATGGTGATACGGGCCCCAGACTGCGCACATTGCGAACAACCCACGTGTAATGTATGCACGTCGCGCTCCGATCGGGGTACGTATACGTGGTACTGCTGGGTTTTTTAAGCTGCTCGATTGGGCGATATGTTAAGTTGAGAGATTTTTTCAAAAATACTGTTTTTTGTCCAAAAATACTGTTTCTTGCTCATATGAATACTTTTTTTTGTTGAAGAAGGTTGGCATCTCTGCATAGAGCGATTTCTGGTCCCTGTACCCGAGCAGCATCAACCATGCGTGTGTCGTCTGTTGATGATGCATTGTGGGACATGGTTTTTGACACATTGTGACATTGTGAGCAGCAGATGGCAGTAATTCTGAAGTAGTGTCGGTAGAATAACCCCGTTTTTTTTTAGAAGAAACGATACATGAGGTGATTTCATACAATAATCACTGTGACTATATATCTCTATCCTACAAAATATGGATTTGAAAATATTGAAGTAATTCATGAAGAAATTATAGAGCAAAATTATTTGAATGTTTTTATCAGAGTTTTAAATTCTATTTCTATTTTGAGTAAATTTTTGATTTGAGGACTACACACCCTCAAGAAAGATCTTGACATGCACATATATTATTATACACAACAGCCTCCAGATGTTATGGTAAGGTTGTAAAATAAAGTGCCAAAATTGTTCCAGTGAGTTTTTAAATTGTCCATGAAAATCTTGGAAGTGTCTTTAGAAAGATTAGTTGTACATAATTGCATGGTGTCACATAATTTCAATACACTCTCGCCAATGTAATTATGTCAATATTCCTAGCAATTAATGGTCTTGTGATGGATGTTCCTTTTGTTTCAAATATTTATAGTGCAGTTAAAAGTGGAAAAAATAGTATTTTCTTTTTATTTGAAATTATGTTATTTAGAAAAGACTTCTTATTGACTAGTTTTTATATCAAACTGAAATATTATTGATGGAGTTGTTAAAACAGCAGTAAATTGAAATATTTTAGAAACCTTTAGACATTGACATGTTAATGCATAAAAACATCTTCAAACACGTATCTCCCCAAAAGGTCAAAGGTCAGGTGTGATAGCAATTTATTTTCAATCAGCAATGCACTCATTAATTTGAGACTGCTTAAACAATGACTCTTTTTAATTTATACACTTTGTGATCATGTTGATTGTAACTGGAAGACATGTTTGATTAAATTCAAATGTATGTTTGGATAACTTTTAACTAATTTTTTCAGTACAATTTGTATTTTATGAAAAATGTATGTGTGAAGATGTATAAATAAACTTGATACATGTAAATGCAATGCATCAAATTTAAATGGAAATGTATTGATCTTAGATCGTGCGAGATAAAAATGTCTGAGCCTTCCATTTGTAGTAAATAAAGTGATAGGGCCAGTTAATGAAGATATCACTTCTTTAACACTGGCGTTATTTTTCAAAGATGAATCAACGTTTGTAAAAAAAAGTGTAAATGGATGCAACTCAAAATCTTAACATGTATATGAATAAAGCACTGACATCATTGCAATAAAATCAACTTTTAGTGATACAAAAAGTTATGTTAACATTGTTACTTTGTTCATGATCATACTTCTTTTTATTTATTTTGTATTTATTTTTTATTTTAGAGAATCATAATCTGTATTTTTGATAGTGGTCTCAGATGAGCACTGTCCTTATAACCACTTATGTATGGAACACCAAATGTCAAACTCGCCCATTATACAAATCACTGTCACTCTGTCACATAATGGATATCATACCATGATTTGTATGTTGTGTTTATAGTAACAGAATGGCAGTAGTATGTGGTAAAGAGTTTGATGCTTGGTGCTCCATGAATCTAGTCAAGCAACTCACTCCACAATAAGTTGAATGCAAATTGTCGGCTGCCCGCAAGAAGGTCATAAGACCTATGTATTGTCGATGGCAGTAAAAGTCTTCTTGCGGGCAACCAACGAAAAAATGGAAATTCACATGTCTTTTAAAAGAATTTCATGTCGTTTTTCTTTTGGTCTTTGGCCTATATGTACTGGTCTGGCCAGGAGGGATTAGACCTCCCTGCATGGTCACTGACAGGTGGTTATCTCATCAGATCAGCTCTCAATTAACATAAGAAAAAGGGGATCATGGGGGACCAACAGGCACCGATTACGCATTGTTTGCTAAATAGAGGGTGCAAGTAGCTATAAGTTGTGCAGTGAGGCTTTAAAGTTCATATTTTCTTTCTTTTTATCTTAATTATATGCTCATGCAGAAAATTTCTCAATGACTTTTATCTCATACAAACAAAGAAAGACAGGACAACAAAGTTATTTCCTTGGTATTGTGCATAGTAAGTGCTTTTATTAGCAACACCAATCAATGTATGCATACACAATCTGTGTAATATTCCCTGTAAGTGCATCTATCACCTACTCACAAAATATTCTCTCATCTCTTATCAAAATAAGTGAAAAAGTGGAAAATATATGCAATCTATGCACACATTTGACACAAATATATAGACTTTTGATATAGTTCTTACAATATATATTTTATAATGAACGATACATCATTATAGTTATAAATACATTATAATACATAACTAAGCTTGAAAGAATATTACCATCATTGAGTTGATGCATGATTTGGTAATATTGTTCAAAATCAAACGGAAATGTACAGCTGATAGATGCCTTTATCATGCCGAGATCTTGTCATATTTAAACTTTTGGTCTGGACTGTGGAACTGTTACTGTTTCTCAAAATGGAACACAAAAATATGTTAAATGAGAGACAAACATGACAGAGAGAAATAGAAAGACATTAGAAGAGGCAAACAGAACTTAAGAGACGTTAATAGAGAGAAGGACAAAAAAAACAACAAGAGAATACAGAAAGAAAATAAACTAAGGGGGGGGGGGAGAGAAAGAGAGAGAGAGAGAGGGGGGGGGAGTAATGATAAATGTACATATTCATATTTTCAATTCAGTTCAATTAAATTTGTGAGCTACATTTACGTATACACTTTGACACTTCGACTAAATCATAATGCAGTTTGGACCTTTAAATATAATATTCCTATTGTTCACCCTATTGCGAGTCGTTTTAACCATATCCCCATTATCCCACAAGGCAACAACCATCCCTAATTTGGTCAAGATGAGCAAAAAGAAGGTAAAATTGTTATTATTATGATTTATTTGTGCTAGTACAGCTGTGCTTAAAGAGCTTTTGAAAGAGCATCATATAGAAATAAGACGTTTGCGGCCACCCGTTTTCAATGAAAGATAGTTCCAATCTAATACAAATGTATGTTGATGAATCAATCTCGTGCAAATTATATCACAATAGATTGGCAAATAATGGAACATAGTTTGGTAGCAAGATAAAACTGGAGAGATGTATATAGTATAGACAAAAGTATAAAGACTTGAATATAGGAGAAAAAAATGAGATAGCAACAGTTTGGTATCATCTTAGGATAAATTGTAACTTTCTTCTGAACATTTTTAACATCCATGGTCACTTTTTTAGCTACATGTTTCTAATATTGGTGCATAAATTACATGACTGCCTAGCACCTCATTTTCCTATTGAGCCAATTGGGTCATTCATTGAATATCTTTTAAACTGGTAAACGTTTATCTCAACTGGGTAGAATGTGTTCATTACATACCAAATGGGTATCTAAATGTATAAACAAATAATGGTTTACAACAAATATATCACACATTTTGATCATTTATTAACATACATTGACAACAAAAGACTACGATAAGGAGTCTGCATTGCTTCAATGGTATCACTCTACAAGTACAAAAACAAAATGAATGGCAATGTCTATCAAAGCACTCTGTATTCATTCTGACAATCAAACTTGCATTTTCTCCCTGACATATCACTTTAAAGTGAATATAAACTACACGCTATCACATTCATTCATCATTATTACTTCTCAATGAGTTGTTCAATCTTGGGCAGTTGGAATTTGTTCTGAGTGACATATACAATGTCATGTACATATATATACAATGTAATCTACAAGGCCTGTTCACACACCAGCCTATTCAACTTGCACACATTTCACATAGTTAACATATCAAACATATCTACACACACATGTACAACATTTATCTGTACAATGCATCCATTTTGCAAGTCAGCTCCACAGTTCAACTTCATAATAGGTATGTACACTATTCTACACCATTCAACGTCTCCTTTTAACATCATCCATATAAACTCTATAGTACTGAGTGCAAAACAGGATGATGTTCTACCACAACATTTACATTTTTTTTGTAACAGGGTTGTTTAGCCTTCTTTGCACATGGTAAAAAACACTTACATATTGCTGAAAGCTGTACACAATTTTAGTGTTGAAACAATTTTTCTTTCTTTTTCTCATTCTATTGAGAAATGTTAATTCACAAGTTCTGCATAATCTGTTTACTAAAAATAGCAAAAAAGAGCACCTTTTTGTTTTCACTACACTGAAACACCAACGTAGGAGTGATACAGACATTATTATCATTTAAAGTGCATCTTATATCCCTCTACTTTGAGAAACCTCTAATGTCATTTGTTTGCATAGCTATTTGATTCTAGTATCTAAATAAGAGCAATGTCATTATCAATCTAATTCGTTAGCACCTGATTCTAAAATCAACTCTGGTTTTTTGGTACAGTTTAATCCATTTATTAAAGCAGCCACTCATCACAAACATATTGAACATATATAGTCATGGAATTTCAATTAGAAGAACATTATACCTGCTGACCTTTTCCAATCCTGACAATTTTTTGTCTTCTCAAAAAGCCCCCTCTATTTTCTTTCTTGAAAGTATAAAAGGGTTACATAAGATAACAAGTGAAAAATAAACTGAGCTGATAACTATGATATGTAAATACAAGTATGCCTGCCAAAAACTATATACATGAGAGATTTTAATTCTGAAATCCTGTTTCCCTTATTACCCTTGAAAGAAAAATAAAGTAACAAAGAGGAGAAAATGTTTAAATAAAAAAAAAAAGCAAAGCAAAGCAAAAAATTGTTTGTACCAATCTGGATGGACTATTTTTGCACACCTCAGCATCTAACAATGCCCTTAAGAAAAACCTAACAATTCTTAACCACAATTTACAGCTGGCCTTACTGAAAGAATATGAGAAATTGCACTCCTCCTTTGCATGAGAATCACTCATCAGAAGATGACTAAAAGCCTTACAAAATTGGCATTGCGTATCTTGAGGACAGAAACACATGTAGAAAAAAAATATGTATATAATCACACAAACAAAACTAGGGAGAAAATCATTACAAATCAAAGACTAAAATGAATATTAAGCAGCAAAATTGAAAATAATTAGTTTTAGCACAATAATCATTACACGTTATAGTAGTAGTAGAGTTGCAGAACACTTACAAGCAGCAGGTTTTAAAGGGCAAGAAAATATGATGAGAATTAGAAATAAAATGAAGCAGCTACATTGTAACAATATTGTAAACATTCAGGTAAAGAAAATTCAAAGATCTGCAGATTTTTTTCCTTTACTGTTTTCACACAGCAGGATTCTGAGTGAGTTTAAAGATAAAAATACATACATTATTCAAATTAAAGCTTTAAAAAAAAAGCTGAAAAAATGTTCGCTGCAATGAAGAATGTACATGGCTATGGTCCTATGTGTGCATCTGTTTGGTCTTATACATATTAAATCCAGATTTGGTCTCTATCGATTCATTTGGTCTAAATCAAACATTGTTGTTGAAGAAAGATTAAATGAAACATCAAATACCTCCAACATGATCGTAAACACAAACAAACCTCAAAAAATTCAATCAATATCAAAGTGAATTACATGTGGAAGTACATAGTACTCATATACATGCTAAGGTTATGTTTGCACATTTCCAGCAATACACTGGACTTTTGTGTCTCATCATTGATTGATTGCGAATGGCTTTTTCTGGAGAATTTGAATGAATCACTTTTTAATGGTTTAGAAGCAGCAAAGAATAGCAAAATTAGACTCCATCTGCTACAAAAAAGACAGATTAAAATTGCCTAGACCTGCTCAATCATACTGCTTCATTTTGGCCAAACTAATTTCATTCTTCAACAAAATGCATACAGCATTTACAAAACATGATGGAATCTTGCTACATTGTTCCCTATATATTTGTGAGCAGGAATGTTGCATTAGATGCTTACCGTCTTCTTATTGTTCACACAAGTTTGGATCTAAGTAAGTTCCACTTTAAACCATTGCACTAATTTTGCATATGAACTCAAAATATGTGTACAAAGTCATAGCAAATGAATTTCACCATTCACTATGTTTTGCACACCACTACAAAATTAGCTAGAGCAATGACTAATTAGCACAATCATGACTGAATCTTGCATCCCAAGATAATTCTATGCATACTTTTTCAAAAAGTAAACAGGACTCTTAATGTTTAACTAATGAAGGATCCAGTATACAAACACACTATTTGCACGATATATCCTTGCAATATTGCCTTTAAGCACATGTCCGGTCATCTTTCCTAGGATTGAAATTGTCAATTAAGGTTTTTCAAAATTCAGCCGAAGTTGACAACTAATTTCACCATCATGACGGGTACTGCTGTCAACAGAGACAGCTTACAAGGTTAAGTGTTTCATTGCAATGTTGCTTCAAGCTTGTGACCAGTCCTTTGTGATGGGAAAGAAAAGATTGAATTTCGTCGGCTGAAGCTAACAACTAATTTCACCATCCTGCAAAATCTTGCACATGTAGACATATTGCAAGGGAAAGTGCTTGCTCGCTATGTTGCCTCAAGCATGTGAACAGTCATTTGTCCTTCTTCATAAGTAAGAAGAATTGATTCTTGCCAATCGAGACACATTTCAGCAAGATTCAGCTGGCTCTATAAAATGATTTTCATCATCACAGAGGATTCTGCACACATTGACACTAATTGCTTTGTTATTCCTTGCAACACTCGCGGCTCCACCACATCACCATTCCTCTCTCATAGAGGGGGAATGATTGCTTTTGCCCATGGAGACACTGAACGCATAATATCTCCACAATATTAGGCTAAATCACTTGATGACTTCTCTTTCACAGAGTTTGTTTATCAAGATTTGGCGAGTCTGATTGGACTTCTGCGTAGCGTGCATGGCCTCATGTTGGTCTACATCTAATGATCCATTCAGCTGTCGGGTTGACCCTAACGAGCGCCATCATGTTAGTCTCAGGATCTAGACATCTCTCTCCTGTAAACAAAGGAGAGGATAATAATAGTATTAATATTCCACTTTTAAATAGCGCTTCATACATCTACAATATCTTTAAGTACTTTACAGATTTACTATTACCCCGACATTGGATTCACTACTTGCCCGCCCGCACACACTGTGTACACAATCTCCACTCCCTGACGGTCACATCCTACCGGGTACCCATTTAACAGCTGGGTGGAGAGTGGCAAGTGCAGGTTAATATCTTGCCAAAGGACATTAGTGGATAATATTCTCAGAGTCAGAGTTGTTCAGCATACAATCATTCAAAGGTACACTGTAGTTCAGTTGAACTTCATACTGTTAAAGCAAAAATTTGTGCAGACTGTTGCTGACAGCCAACTACAAGAAACTTTTAAAAGGATTGCCAATGTTGTCAACCTTTTATTTCATACACGTAATTTCATAATTTCATGAAAATAATGTAGCTACATGATGATGTTTGTGCATATCCATTTTAAGTGTGATGTGTCCAATTGCTCCATTTATTTCATCAAAGAAACTGGTTTGGGGATGAGATTATGATTACACGTAGTTTTAGATTAGGCTTGGGGATGGGGATAGTGATAGGATTACATTGAGGGGTCAGTGACACAAAGACGTAACTCCATTTTGGCCATTTTGAGAAAATTGGTTTATGTGTCGTCACTGAGCACTTGGGCCTTAATGAGTTACATGTGAGTCTATGTTTCACTAGCCATTGACTTCATGTTGGGTGGAGTTAAGTCTTTGTGTTTCCTGGAAAGCCCACATTTTTCTGAACATTTTGATATCAAATACTCATTTTGGCACAATTTGGAGTAACGTCTTTGTGTCACTGAACCATCGACATGCAGGTACAGTGTTTGGTCTAGGGCTGAAGTTTAAAATTCAGTTTATGTCCATGGAGCTATCGTCACTGTGCATGTGGCGTAGAATCAATGGTTCAACTCACCTATGCATCCCCCAACTTCGTAGAGATAGAACTTTGGTGCTCTGCTGGAGGTGATGTTACTGCACATATCAAAACTAGAATTCCTAAAAGAAATAAAGAAATAAGACAAGGAGCAATGATGATATCAATTTGAAGACTTTGAACATTGCTTGCTGAAAATTATCACATGGAAGTCTGGATACAGTGAAACCTGTATATAAAGACTGAAAAATGGTCCTTATAGGCAAATGGTCTTTGTGTACAGGTTCCTATAATACAGGTTTCAATGTGAAACCATATTCAAGGGAAACAAAAAATGTGATCATTATAGAAAGGTGGTCTTTCTATACAGGTGGTTGCTGAGCAGGTTTGACTGTAAAACTACAGCTTCTCAATCTAATCAAATACTGTTTTTAATAATAGCAAGAGTTTAGTAAAAGAAAAAGAAGTTGTCCACCATAAGACAGAAGGGCAGTAACTCATATGCTTTCAGAGAGAACATCTTTCCTGCTATCAACAGATATGTTACAGAATTAAAAAAAAAAATCTAATAATGAATTTACATCTCAAAAATGGTATCTACAATGATGTGAAGGGAGTATAAAAGAATTGTTTTCTTTAATCAACTAATTTATCAAGTTGCTCATCAATACACAACATAGACCAGTTTACTAACATATTTTCTTATGATTAATTGAGAGCTGATTTGATGAGATAACCACCTGCCAGTGACCACGCAGGGAGGTCTATTCCCTCCTGGCCAAACTAGTGCAGAAGGGCTTTATAGAATATGCATAACCTTTTCCCCCAATGATCTATATGATATACTTCCTGTACTCTACATTTTTGTCCTCTTTTCATATATTTGTATTTGTAAGCGCTATGGTACTTATTGTTTTTAGCGCTCCTAAATATTTGATATCATTATTATTATTATTACAAAATTTGAATTTTTTTATAATAGTGAACCGGTCTATTGTGATAAAACAAGCCTAGCCTAACCCTATCTACTAACCTTTGAATGGACTTCTTGCGGCTCCGCCTCCTGAGGCTGTTCCTCTTGAGGGGCGCAGGTTCAATACTCATGAAAGGTGTGTCCTCTGTGAACTTGGCTACGATGTCTCCTGCTGTCGTTCTCTCACTGAGCTGTATCGTCGTGAGGACCTTCTCGACCGAACCCGGCGTCTGGATTCGGATGATCCCTTCTGCAACCTCCTGTTAAAGAGTAAAAAGGAAACCATGCAAGTTAAGAAACGATTTCCTGAAATGACTCTGCTTACTTACTTTCAATTCGAACGGTTAAACTGGTTCACATTTAGTGACCAACTATTTGTTCAGTGAATAGAGGTAACATTTACCACACATGTATCTCCTGTTACAAATATGTGATGCAAAATCTGTCTATAAATCTATTTGTCTATAATGGTCATTCTAATTCTACAGATGGTGTTATGGATAGGTCTGACTATGGTATTCCTTTAGTGCAGTGCTTCAAAGATAAAAAATTAAATACCGGTATGATAAGTGATAAAATTCCATTTTACAGTAAAAACACTTTTTGTTTTGTACCATCAATACTTGACATTATACAATGTTCACATCATAAGACCTGATTGTGAATTGTAAAGTTTTTTTGTTTTCAATATAAAAACACTGACAAAGATTTAAACATTTTAGAGTGAATTAATTCCAGTGGTAATTGCTTATTTCTCTACTCTTAATCGATTCTGGGATTACTGATGACCACTCATTTCATTATTAGTTCTCCTTCCATTTTTTGTTAAAGATCAAAATGTTATGATTGTTAGCTTCCCTTATGTTACCCCTTGGTACAAGCACATGCTTTTTATAGTCCAATGTTAGTAAAATTAGCCTGAATTATACATATTAGGTTACTTGAATATCAATAAAGGCTAACCAAAAAAACTTGCACATAGGATATCTATATACTTCAGGCAGCATTTTGTGAGATAAAGATATAAATGACAAAACAATTAGTTCTTCAAATCTATTATGATGGTGTCATTTACATGTATATTTTAAAAAATGGAGAATGATACCTTCAACAAATCTTTTATCTATCATGATTGTCTTACATAAAGTAGCTCAGTAATTACTTTAGTGATCTGATACTCTGTAAATCCATAGGGTTGTTATTTCAATTAATATATGAGTTTTATGTTTTGTTTTTTAATTCACAAGCCTACGTTGGTCAGTAGGCTCAGGTGCTTTGTTCTATCTACCAGCTTAAATAATGCCTTATCTGTTGCTGTGTTGCTTAAGGATACCAGACAAAACCTGTACTACCATTGAAAAAGAAGTTCCATCTTTAAAACACAAAGGTTTCTATAATTAGAGTTGATCGGAATCCATTATAAAGTGCTGGCTATGAACTGGACAGATCACTGTATAGGTAAGTTAGTATTTCATACTGTAGGTTATTCTAAGAATAATTCATGCAAATTAGTTGAATCAAAAGATACCTAATTGACATAAACTAGCGATTCATTAGTAAAAAAAACAAAACAAAATAGAAACAAAGGGTACAAATAGGAGTCTAAGTGTGGTGAAATAGGTAGCAAGTATTAAGGCAGAGAAGTTATGATTAAAAGCTACATGAATACATGTACAGTTAACAACTAAATGAAGCAACAAAGGTCCTAATTCAACCAGTTCATCTTTCATTCTTGAGTTACAAAAAACATCCAAATTGACAAGGGGCTTGAATATTTTGGTTGTTAACTGTACATGTATACATACATGATACACTCTATAACAAATTCAGGGATTTTCTTGTATTGATTAATAGTCATTAAGATACATACAGTGTATTAGTTCAAACATTTAAGTCATTCAGTTACATTTCATGTATAAAATGTTAAAGATTGATGAATTCAGATATGCAAATAGGATCACATAGTACAAGAAATATTTAAAAAGGAGGATTAGGAAATGGTGAAGTATATGATGTAGCAATCACAAACTCAATAAATTATAAATAATTGAATCTTAGAAAATTAATATTCTTCAGAAGAAATTGAAACAAGTACAACGTTTATGAAATTAAGTTAAGGAAAGATGAAAAAAAGTTTTAAAAAGTTGAAAAGGAGAAATCCATCAAATTGTATTTAGAAGAAAAAAAAGCTTCGTACATTGCGAAAGATTAATAGCAGTTAAAATAATAACAAAATCAAATTAAAGTTAATCACGCATTCAAAAATCAAATGGAAACAGAAACATGCTGCAACAAAAGCAAATTTTGGGATAAAACATCTAAAGCTGTTCAATGTCATGCCAGCATGCAAAAGCACTGTACACACAGTCATTGCAGCTTTATTAAATAACAGATGCATTCAAATAGCACGATGCAAAAATGTTGCTTTTGTGTATTTTAACCTCAAATATGCCACTTCTCTTGTCTTTGCTTCTCTTGAATAGCGTCATGACCTAGAGGAAAGACACGATGGAAAGATAGTACAAGGTAGATTCTTTGTCTTGAGACGAATGGAAGAGTAAGGAAAGGAGATGGGCACACACTATGTTTCCACCATCAATGAGCAGTAACAAAATCATGTATTCACTGTGACAAAGCTTTTGAAATTGGAGAGGAAAATTCCAAGCAATAAGTTTAAATATGTAGATAATATTCCTTTAAAACTCTAGGGCAACTTCAAGGTATTTGTTTATTCTGTTGTACATTACCAAATATTTCCAGGGTTTCCTACACTTCTTCAAGTAACAATTTCCATGAATAATTTTCATGGCTTATCAAGGCCTGGCATTTGTTTTCCTCCCCCCCCCCCAAAAAAAAAAAAATCGAAAATCCAGGTTTTCCATGACTGAAAATTTTCCTGGATATTTTGTCTGATCTGAAATTTTTAAGGCTATCAACTTGATAAAATCACTTGGTGGAGTAAAATCTTTGGTTTAATACATATGGGATAAAAAATAATAAAATACCATGGACTAGCCCACCCTACAATCCATTAGCTGTATTTTGATGGAAGCTCAGTCAGGTTTAGAATTTAAAACCTACACAACAAGTCCTCGACAATGTTTTTGTGAAGGGAGGGGGAGCGTGAGACGTGTTAAATCAAACCAGTGGAGGAGAAAGAAACAGAAGGGGGCGGGGGTGGGGGCGGGGGATACGTGCTGTTGTGTTACGCTCACTGCGGAAAGAGGTGTTTGCTAGCCTACAGGCACACACACACAGCAGTGGAACACAACATTCAAGATTAAAGGGCTCACACATAATGAACACTGCTGGAAAAAAGTGATAATAAATATATATCAAGAGTAATAAGAAATGAAAGATAGTATTTTACTCATAGTGTGGGTCAAGTTGAGAGATATTTTGAGATGTATCCAAACAAGTACAATATCATCTCATTTATCTGTGATTAATAAATAAGAAAAATAAAATGTAAATAATTCAAAAAGTATTCATGCTTCAGTGAATTACCATTTAAGAAATATTGTAGTAATACCCCTCCACCCCCACCCCTATTTTGAGGTTATATGTTACAATCACAAAAGCTAATAGTTCACAAAATCTATCTATTGAAATACCGTTATGGTTCTAAATTGTTAATTTCTCACAAGTGTATACCAAAAATATGGATGGATGGATGGAAAGACCCATGTATAGATATTGGTGTACATGGATGGATGTATAGACCCATTTATAGACCCATGTGTAGATATTGGGGTATTAAAGTGGACGACTTCTTACCGATTTGGAGTCTCTTGACCTCTTCATGTCGACCTCATACATCTTACGGACCTGCTCTAACATCCGGAAAGGTACCTGTTGTAGGATAGAGAAGGAGTAAGAGAGAGAAAGAGTAAGAGAGGGAGAGACAATAAGAGATGGAGAGAGAGAGAGAGAGAGAGAGAGGGGGTGAGAGAGGGTGAGAGAGGGTGAGAGAGGGAGAGAGAGAGAGAGAGACAGTCAGCCAAAGACAGACATATTGATATTGAATTATTCATGACGAGAACTGGGTTATTAATGAATTGCTTCAACTGCAATTACCTTAAGACTGTGAACTGAACGTGGTCTCTTCTCAAGTTGGCAAATACAGTCAGACCATCTTGCTTGCCAAAAAATAAAGGCTTCAATGAAATGGGTGGTTTTATCATTTACAGCTTGGTTACAATGCATAAAACCTCTTTTTGTATTTCTGCAAGGTAGGGATTATTTGAAAATTGGGCATGGTCACAATTTTCAACCGTAGCATAGAATGCGTACCCTGAGAAGCATTTTTGTTTCATGCATGGATGTAAATTTATAAAAAAACAAGAGACTACATACCACCCACAGGATATTGTGGTATTTGACGAGCATTCGCATGATGTTTGACGTCCCTGCTGCTATGTGAAGCTCGGAGTAATCAGGTGACTTCTTCCTGGAGATGGCTCGTCCTGAGAACAGGTTGGGTGCCATGATCATGGCTACGTTGTTCAGAGACATCTTATTCTGGGATTCACAGCTCACGATCCGACTCAGGTATGAGAGTAAGAGCTGAAAATAGATAATGGGGATGACACAGGTTCAAACCACAAGACAAATTGTGATAAAGTCGTAATTTTGGTCTATCTTTGGATTTAAAACAAGCCAAAGCATGGATAGACTGGTCACAGTGATGACGTTCAGTGACGTTATGTTTTTTGAGATTCTTGACTGATGGTTCAGCTGAAGTATGAGACTAAGGGCTGAAAATATGTTATGAGAGTGAGAGTTAAAATAGGTCATAGGAATTAAATAGGTTTCACCACCAGAAAAAAATGTAAAACATAAAAGTGGTAGAGTACACAGGAACTATCTTTGGATAAGAAATACTTAAACAAATTGAAACAGCAATAATAAAGAAAGGTCATTGCATGTTGTCAGTTGTAGTGTCTAAATTAAGTCTAAATGACTTACAAGAGACTATGCAGACTGCAGTCTATAGCATCCTATAGGCTTTGTACTTGAGCTGCTTATTTGACAAAGGCAAAACTACCATTAAAACAAATCTGTGAACATTTCAATGTTTGCGAACATCTAAAAAATTACCCCTTTTTTGTAAACTTGCGATTGATTTCAGGACTTGTGATTGCTTTGGATCAATCACTACTCTTTATATTAAAGACAGGGTTCTGGCGTGTCATTTGACTTGGCATTCTTTTGTTACATATTGTTCCTTATGACCTTTCCTTGCAAACAGACCGTAACTACTTTTGGGACTCCCATGCCATCTTATATGGCCCAGGTGTGAGAGACTATGGGCTGAATATAGACGGTGGGTGGCAGAGGATAGGTCAACCACCAGACAAGATGATACATGAATGTGTGAGGGGGCAATTTTTTTTAGATACAAAATACTAAAAATAAACTACATGTTAATTAATGCACGAATAGAAAGAGCAAGACCCTGAGAAAGGTGCTTTCCGAGGACTTCTCTTTAATGCCTCAATCACACATTTATGTATTTGGCTTGCATATTGCTGCTTATTTATGGCAAGCTGTTTTAATATTTATTCCTATTTCTTGATATCAAGAATTACCATTGCTTTACATGAGAAAATCATTTCTTGATATAACGGCTTGCCATAAATACGCAGCAATACGCAAGCCAAATACACAAAGGTGTGACTGAGCCATTAGTGTGATTCTAATGGTATCTTTATTCTGGAAAATTTATCCAAAATATCATCCAATATTCATGATCACTTTGCAATGTTTTATCATTCTAAATTTCCCTCACTCTAGTCTGGATATCAAACATTATGACAAGGTAACAAATCACAAATAACATTTATGAGACAAGGGTTATAATTATTTTTCATAATTCACATTGGTGAAAAGTAGTAAATTTCAAGAAGAAAACTAGCTTTGGTCGGTCAAATGATATGTAAAAAGATATATCCAGTAATATCCAGATTTGGGTGGTCAGATTTGCTTTGGGGCTAATGAAAAGACTTGCCCCATAGCTACATTAATCACATGTACAGACATTACACAACTACAAAATGACAGGTCACTGACAATCTCCATGGACAGTGTCTTCTCAAAATAATTTTCCTTGGGTCTAATCTGTCACATCCATCTTTTCCCCTTCCCCCTCCGGCCAGGTAAACCCATGACATCAGATAAAATGGACAGACCTGGCCGGGAAAGACCTAATGCCAGAGCCTCAGGGAGGTAGAGGCAGGTTTAATTGACCAATGACAGAAACTGACCACTGTCCGGTTCCAGTCCAGCTAGCAGAGAACTGGAACAAGGGGAAGTCCTGGTCTACTTTATCTGGGCCGTATCAAGCATCATCTAATAACAGCTATGCCCCGTTCTTCCTCTTTCATCGAGGGGGAAGCGGTTTAATATGAGAAGGACAATTCTTGGTCAGTTTTAGCATGAACCTGTTGAACACTAGGCTTGAGGTAAATTAACTTGACAAAGTTGACATAAAACCCATTGAAAGTGTGTGTAAGGAGAAAAGAAAATTGGACGGTTTGGAATTGAGATTTTCTTTTGTTTTATCATTGTCAATGCATCACGTAAAACATGCGAGGTTTCTCTGAAAAGCTGCACAGCCCATTTAACATAATCTTTTGGCAAGTTATTACAGAAACTTAAGAAAAAAATTAACAAGAAATTATATTCAATTATTAAACTTTTATCGTTCTTTTAAAAGGTTGTTTAAAAAGGTTAAAGATCATACCATAACACATAATTTGATACATGTATCACATTTGTAAAGATTATATATGTTCCAATTAAAACTCATTAGTAAACAAAGGTTTGGGAAAGATATCTCTAGATATGATTGAAATAAACAAGAGAATATACCTATAGGTATTCCTGTATTTCAAGAGACGGTCTTTTGATAGTTCTCTTTTACTTTTTAGTGAATACATGTATATGCACCAAAAGTTTAAAGAAATCTTGCAAAAGACTGATGAAACAGCACAAAACAGAATTGAGTAATGAATGGCTAAGCTAATTATGTTGGAAGGAGACAGTAAGGGAGTATGTGTAAAAAGGACGGGTAATTATCAGGTTTCTTATCTTGCTATTGTCCGATACATGCATGGTACTTCCTCTTTTAAAGATAAGCCTACTGTCTGCATTAATAATTCTGTCTCCTAGCATATTACTTCTACAGTGTACATTACATTACTTCATGCAAGTTAATGTCTTTCATTAGTGAGGCCTAAATAAATTGGTTCCTGGTTTCTTGCCCCTTCCGTCTCCCTTTATTGACCCCCTTCCCCCTCCCCCTCAGAAGAATCGGAGGACAGCTAGACAATGATGTAACAAAAATCATTAACATAATGCAATTTTGTCTTGCTTTGAGTCTTATGTATGTAGTGCATGTACAAATGAAGTTCAATTTAGAAAATGTGTGTGTTAACACATGTTCTGGACCACTTGCATATGATAAACAGAAAACAGAAAATGTCAAATAACATGGAACACCCCCCCCCCCTCCTTCTCTTTTTTCTTGAAATTTCACTTAAGGAAGCACATAGAAATCACTTACACAAGGCCTTATCTAGAATCTTTCAAATCTAGTTCAATGTTTTCATTATTGTTTCGATGTCCGTTACAAGTTTCCAAAGAATAATTATCTTCCACAGTTTGTATGGATTTGTGGTTTTTACTTTGTATCGTAAACAATTTTTTAAATTACTATTCCCAGACACTTAAATCAAAATCAATCACAGATCTATATGTGCATGAAAAACCCTTCAACTTCGAAAAATACTACCGCTACTTAAATGTTTGAAAGCTCTCACATCACAAGTATAGAAAGTAGAAACAAAATAAGTGACCTAATCTAAATGCAGATTTCTTGAATACTATCAATATTTCAATCACCTGACTTACATATTATACTTTCATAACACGTCACGTATCACTCTGATCAAAGCCAAGCCTTTACATGAAGTTGAAATCTAGGCCAAGCATTATCTACCTTCGATCCTACCTACCACCACGGGAAGCCTCTCTGATAATCGCTATGACATCAAGAATAGTTTCACTAGATTATCACAAACTGACCCCCATTATACAGCGAGGCCAAACGTGCAAAGAAATCCCTCTATATATAGTAGCACAAAATAGGTCAATCCCGTCTACATGTCCACACCACTGCGTCTAAATCAACATGCAGATATGTGACAACTGGACTATAATTGTCATCACATGCTTGTACTTAACCTTATCCTCTAATTAAAAAGCATTACAAGGTCCTATGTGATGGTATGAGGAGTTTATAATAGGTACTCTGGGTCACTTATTAAGGTCAAGTGCTCAATTAGAAAAGGAAAAAAGTAATGAGTACATGTTTGATAGCATATGAAGCCATCTTACAATCACAGAAAAGTTTGGTAATTTATGGACTTTGAGTGAAATCAGATATACACCTGTACAGTGTATATCAGACCTGCCCATTTCTTTACTGTGGAGTAGGCAAGAGCATTGTGTCCTAATGTTGCCAACAACTTCTCATGAGGCGTGTCATCATCAGCTCGAGTTTGCCAAATAACCCGTTATTTTAACTATCCCGATCGCAAATTAGCCAGTTATTTGCATCATCATCAGCCCGCAGTTGCAATCAGCAGAATATTTGGTAGAGAAAATATCCTGAGAAATCTTGGTCTTGTTTCCAAATTATCTCATTATTTGGGAAATAGCGGACTATTTTGCGCCCGTCCGAGCTAGTTTGTGATGAGCGTATCGGTCTGGTGAAGACGCAATTTCAAGCTTCAGGATAATATCCTGAGTCTGAAAATAGCGGGTTATTAAGCAAACCGAGCTGATGACGACAGGCCTAAAGATATATCCTTCAGCTCCTTCTTCTAGAGCACCTTGAAATGAATGACTGCTCGTTGCTGAACAACATCTACTGACAAAGTTTTTTTTTTTAAGTCCCAAGTACTCCAATTTTAACGACTCCTCTAATACCTAAGTGGGGTGCAGCTCGGTATTCTAAATAACTGGGGAATTAGTCTTTATATTCCGCCTCTTATTCAAAGTTACATGTACAAGTCCGCAAACACATATTTTTATCTGATAAGAGATAAATGGAATGGCGACACAGGGTAAATTGGTGACAGAGGGAAAATTGGCAACTCTTAGGAAATATATGTCTCATCTTACCATCACCATGGCATGACACTTTCAAAATATTCCATATTAGTGACCATTTTGGCAATCGTTTATTGTCCAATAATTGAAGAAATAGTGAATAAATCTGTAGCCACAATAAACAGGTGTAGTGTATTATCCCTCTTCCTCTCCACTGTGCAGCTTGGGTATTAGTCGCTTTCATGGAAGCATCCTGAAAGCCACATATTTGTCTGAGGGTTCGTGACAAAATCCACTGACATTACAAGGAAATCACGGACTTATTAATTTGTATGCAAACCACAACGTGAGAACTTGGCAAGAGTGAAAGATACAAACACACGCACGTATAAACTGCATCGCACTGTGTGTGCTGTGTGTGTGTGTCACTATTTAAAAATATGAACAGT